AGGTCTCCATCACCCCCTCCCGATGGTCCTCTAGGTCTCCATCACTCCCTCCCGATGGTCCTCTAGGTCTCCATCACCCCCTCACGGTGGTCCTCTAGTTCTCCATCACCCCCTCCTGATGATCCTCTAGGTCTCCATCACTCCCTCCCGATGGTCCTCTAGGTCTCCATCAGTCCCTCCCGATGGTCCTCTAGGTCTCTATCACCCTCTCCAAACGATCCTCTCAGGCTGACCTGTTTCAGGACATCTTGGATGAGTTCCTGGTAGACTTCTTGGATGGCCATGCTGAGGGAGTCCCGACCCACACCCCGCAGGCAGCGGCCAGAGTTGAAGAGCTCTAGGAACTGCCAGACGCTGAGACCCCCAGAGGTCTGAACTGCTTGAGCTTCCTGGGCCAGCAGCTCTTCCAGCTCGCCCAAGCCTATCTCCAAACTCATGCTGCCCAGGAGTTTCTTTAGCAGATACTCAACCTGGAAGGGAGAAGGAGGCCAGGTGACGTCAGCAGCACCTCCAGAGGACAAGAGCGTGGGAAGCCGCATACAGGTGGAAACAGGGGAGAGATCTGAGAGGGAACCTAGGACCCTAGGCACACCTAAGTCAGCCTCCCTCTTCCCTGTGCTAAGTGCCCCTCCTTTCTGCCATAAAATGAAAGTCATGGGCTGCGTGGTGGTGCCACAACTTTAATCCCAGCACTCGAGAGGCAGAGACAGCGCGAGTTCCAGGACAGCTAGAGGGAGCTACACAAAGAAACCTGTCTCAAAAAACCAAAACCAAAACCAAAAAAAAAAAAAAAACCCTCCTACTCAACACTCTTAACTTTGCCTATGACAAACAAGGAAGGAAGGGCCAAGGTGGAAAGTGACTTCCTTCAAGTCACAGGGCAAGTGGGAGGCAACCAGCGCTTGGGTTTCTGATCCTGAAGTCAGTCCCCAGCCCTTGAGGTCCTTCCCTTGGGGAGAGCAATGGAACTAGGGCTGGGGGTAAGCAGGGCAGGGACAGGAAACCTAAGGCAGAGGCACAGGAAGTGGTGGTTGGGGTACATCCTGCTGTAGTTTGCTCTCACAGCAGAAAGAGCCTTCCTACTCTCTGAGGGGCCGGCCGCCTTGCCCCAACTGGCAGGGACCTGGTTAGAGTCCACCCTGGCCCCAGTTGTCTTAAAAGACTCTTTAGGGCCTCCAGTGGCGGTTTAGTAGAAGGCCTTAGTTCAGCTCTCAGCAATCTCCCAGAACTAAGTAAAAAGAAAGGGTCCAGACTCCAAGCCTCTTCCCCCAGCATGCCCTACATTTTTGGAGTTGGTCTGGCTCACCAGTTAAGAAAAGAAACCCTCTGAGGCCAAGTCCAGACTTGGCTGTCCATTTTGCATAACCAGAGTTACTTCCTGTCTGAGAGAACACCCCCACCCACTTCCCTTAACAAAGCACCTTCCTAGATTACACTGCACCTAAGAATCCCGCTGTTCCATCTGAATGCGCTCATCAGTGTGCGAGGCATTTGTACTGATGCAGAACGTAAACATTTGTGGCTCTTTTTCCTCCTTACAGAACCCTGATGCGAATGTAGTTTGGCGGTGGCTGAGGCGACATGATGTTGATAGTTCTCGCTACCCAGAGGCAGTCAGGTGGGGCTGACCCGCATGGAGAAAGAGGATTGAGAAGGCACAGAGACAACCTGTATTCCTTCCCGGCTTTACCAGGGGCTTGGCCCTGAGTGACTCAATCCCTGGATCTGACGTCACCCTCACCTCATCGGGAACCATGATCAGTGGGTACTTGTCCTCAGACAGGAAGTTGAAGAGGCACCAGAGACGGAAAGCATCCTGATTGGAGAGCAGGCTGTTTCCATTGCTATCTGCTCGATAGTTCTTCTTGGCCGTCAGTGTCCAGCACAGCTCATCAAAGTGCTCTTTAACTAAAGCCCCCTCCTCCACCTGTCATGAAGCCTGCAAGTTAGCCAGCTGCCTCAGGCCTCCTCCCCGCTCCATCCATAAACCCCCCCTCCATCCGTAAGCCCCGCCCTCCACGCCTGCCAAGCCCAAGACTGAACTCAAGCTGGCTCAGGCACTTCACCAATGTCTCCACTTCGTCCCCCTGATTTCCCTGGCAACAGTAAAGCTAGTTCTCGGCCAAGGGAGAGAAAGAAGGGGAAGCCTAGGGGGCAGGACAGCCGAGGAGAACCTGCACAGAGGGTGACAGATGAGATGAGCTGGGTGCAGGTTAGGGGGATTGGCGGGTGGTGGGGTGCGGAAGCTAAAGCAGAGGACGGGCAGTGGGGGGCAGGTGACTGAGGAGGGGAGTGGAGATGGAGGCAGGAGGATGGCAGCGTGGACAGAAGTGGGAGTGGACAGCTGGAGTAGAAAGCTAGGTACTGGGGTCCTAGGGGAGGGGCGTTCCCCACCTTGTCGAGGATGTACTTGTTGAGGTAGGGCATGTAGCCTTGACTGGACACGGGGCCATCGTCGTCATCCCGGAAGTGCTCCTCCAGGGCCACGGGGTCATGGGGGATGTGCAGGACCGTGTACAGGTTGTGGGACAGCACCTTGGACAGAGCGACAGTTTGCTTTCCTGCACCCAGTCAGGCCTTGACCAAAGGACTGATTCCATTGGCCTGTCTGTTCACCCCCACCCTGCTCTGGCTAAGTTCTCTTTGGGCGCCATCTGATCCGACACACAGGAGCACACTCTGCACTTCCCATCATTCATAGCACCCCCATAGCGACGCTCCATGTCTCCAGGCGGCAGATGACGAACTCTTCAGGTCCTACTCATCGGCAGAACTGGGATTCAAACCCAGGAAACAAACGGCACCCTCTCCTGTTATTTAATTACGACTTGGAAGCTTCTTTCTATAAACCAGGACTCAGAAGCTCCTGGCTGCTCAGTAAGGGAGTGAATGGGAACTTGGGATTCCAAGCTTGTGTGGCAAAATTCCAAAGCCCAGGGGCTTCCCACAAATGCTAGGCTATCTGCAGGGAGGCCAGGGCAAAACCCTTGACTTGATCTCTTCTAATCACAACTCAGTATTCAGGCTGCCATTCGCACCCCGGTGAGTCCGATCTGGGGAGGGCCCTAGTGAGCTAGGGAAGGCTCAAAGAACGCTCATGAGAAATGGTTCAGAGGTGAGAAATAAGCGCGATGGCAGCCATCCATGGGGCAGGATGGACTGTGGGGCGGGCATTGATGATGCTGAAGGCCCATGAGATGAGAAATAAGAGCGATGGCAGCCATCCACGGGGCAGGATGGACTGCGGGGCGGGCATGCTGACCAGATTTATGATGCTAAAACAAAGGAGCTGAAGTTTGAACAAGAAGATTTGGTAAAATGAAGAGAAGGGGAAAGGTTGCTTGGGGAAATTGTTAACACTGCTCAATCACAGGCAGTGTGAAGATTTAAAAATAACCACTTATTGGGTGGAGCATAATTCGGCAAAACCTTAATCCCTACATTCAGGAGGCAGAGGCGGGTGAATCTCTGTGAGTTTCAGGTCAGTCACAGACACACAGTGAGACTCTATCTGGGGGCGGGGCAAGCCAGTGCTATCTGCCTGCCACTCCCTATGGACCAGCACTGCACAAAGCGACTTAAATGGATCACATTTATCCATTAAGTGTGGCCAGCGCAGTGCTTAAGCCACGGTGCCCATGTGGAGGTCAGAGGGCAACTTTAAGGATCCAGTTCTTTCCTTCTACCATGTGGGAGATGTTTTCAGGCTTGTCAATAAATACCTTTACCCACTGGATCATCTTTTCAGCCCAAAATTGCTTTCTTAATTACAGAAGAGGCTACATGAGTAAAATATTTACGTGTGCATGTATTTGTGTGTGCATGTGTGTGTGTGTGTGTGTGTGTGCGTGTAAGGTGGCAAAGACAGAGCCAGGCTTAGGTCTGCACACGGTGAGTGTGAGCTCCTGTCCAGGGCGGAAAGGGTGGCTTTTTAATCTATTTGTCAAAGATGAGAAAGACGGTAAGAGCAAATATTGAGGAAACTGGGAAAAATGGGGGCTTTAATAACCCACCACTAGCCGGGCGGTGGTGGCAAACACCTTTAATCCCAGCACTTGAGATGCAGAGGCAGGCGGATCTCTGTGAGTTCCAGGCCAGCCTGGTCTACAGAGCAAGTCCTAGGATAGTTAGGACTGTTACACAGAGAATCCCAGTCTCAAAAAAAAAAAAAAAAAAAACCCCACAAAGACAAAACAAAACCTTATCACCAGGGTGTGAATTAGTCACCTATCTAAGCCTCAAGTAGCCAAGGCTGGCCTTGAACTCACCACACAACCAAAGATAACCTTGAATTCAGGTTCCTTCCGTGGCGGCGGGAATCCAGGGAATCCAGGTGCGTGCTGCTGTAACTAGCTACGCTAGTCATCCTGTGCTGTCCCCAATCTATCAACTTAAAATTGGAGGTGGGCTGGAGAGAGGGCTCAGTGGTTAAGTGCACTTGCTTGCTGCCCTCCAGAGGCCCTGAGCTCAGCTCGCAGCATCTGCACCAGGCAGCTCACAGTTGCCTGTAATTCAGGAGGTCTGACATCTTCTGGCCTCCGAGGGTACCCATGCTCATGAAGACACACACAACCACCAAAAATTTAATCTTTTAAATTGGATGTGAACTTTAACTCAGCATTTTTTGTTTTATATTTTCTTTTCATTTAAGACCTATTTTACGTTTAATTACGTGGTGTGTGTGTGTGTGTGTGTGTGCCTACGTGTGGGTATGTGCTCACAAGTGTGGGTGCTCTCGGAGCCAGAGGAGGACATCCGATACTCTGGAGCTGGAGTTACAGGCTGTGAGCCGTCTGATGTGGGTGCTAGGAGTCAACCTCAGGTCTTCTGCAAGAGCAGTGTGAGCTCGTAACAACTTAGGCATCTCTCTAGGTCTTAATCCCTTTTTAAAGTAAAAAAGAAAATCTAAAATAAAAGGATTTAAAAAACAATTTTATGTGCATGGATATATTGCCTGCATGTGCGTCTGTGCATCTGACGTGAATGCTGTGCCCGAGGAGGTCAGAAGGGGGCGCCACGTTCCCTGGAACTGGAGTTCCAGTTATGAGTCACTGCGTAGGTTCCAAGAACCAAACCCTAGTCCTCTGAAAGAGCAGCTAGCGCTCTTAACTGCTAAGTCATTCCTAAGGGGGGGGGGGGAATGTGTGTGTGTTTTAGAGACAGGGTCTTTCGGTGTAGCCCAGGCTGGCCTTGAACTCAGATATCCACTTGCCTCTGCCTCCCGAGTGCTGGGGTTAAAGTGTGTTGCCAGGACCTGGTCCATTTATTTATTGACGTGTGTGTGGAATACACACCTCACAGGTCTCAGGAGTCACTGAGACATTCGACTTGGATCCAGCTCTGGGGAAAGGGTTTGGCCTAGTGGTTCTTGTCCTTAAGGAATGGGTGACACCCAGAAACACACAAACAGGGAGGCACAAGACTCTTCCATGGAGAGACTTAATAACCAGGCAGGGTAATAACAGTGGTTAGTGCTGTGCCTTGTTCTTTACTTCTCTGTTATTTTAACAGCTCCTGTGTGCAGCACAGAGAACAGCTTACAGGGAGACAGGTCTCTCCTTCCAAAGGTGGGTGCCTGGAATCAAACTGGGGCCATCAGGGTTGGCAGCAGGTGCCTTCACCTAACAGCCTGTCAGTGTGTGTTGTGTAAGTCTGGAACATAGACTGCCTTTATGACAAGAAATTGGAGGAAGCATTTGAGACAGGGTCTCATTCTGCACCCTGGGCTGGCCTTCCAATCCTTCTGCCTCAGTTTCCTGGGGCTGGGATTCCAGGTTAACATCATCTTGCCTGTTTGTGGAACTGGAATTACAGAGAATTGTGAGCCACCATGTGGGTCCTCTACAAGAGCAGCCAGTGCTCTCAACCCCTGAGTCATCTCTCCAGCCCATTCCTATTTTATTTTGGTTTTTTTGAGACAGGGTCTCAGGTATCCTGGGCTGACCTTACACTCATTCTGTATGACCTTGATCTTCTGATTCTCCTGCTTCTCCCACCGCAGAGCCAAGATTCCATGCAGTCTCTCATGCCCCGTTTAGGTAGTGCTGGAGACCTCCTCCAGGGCCCCATGCACACTAGGCAACGGCTCTCAGCTGAGCTGTGTCTCCAGGCCTGTTCCCTTCACCTGCGGCCACAAGCACAGCAGGGGTTCTCGTCTGTGCCTTTAGGTGACTAAATCTGCAGAGCCCAGGGCTGGGCTATCAGTTGTCAGGATGCTGTGGTACTCAGGGTTCTAGACACTTAGGGTCCTCCACACAGAGAACCTAAACCTCAGACTGCTAGACGTTCCTCCTCAGCCTGGGGTGGGGTGAGGGGCGGGATCAGGCAGGAGAGGAAGCTGCAGGGGTGGGGCAGTGATGAGCTGGAGCTCACTGCAGAGGTAAGTAGGGACTCTTACCCTCCATTCACAGGCGAGGAAATGGAGGCTCAGGAGGAAGTGTCTTGCCTCAAGTCTAGCTCGGAGGTCCCTCTGGGTCTCCACTGGAGTAGAAGAAACTGAAAGGCTTGCCCCACCCTGACCTACTGACTCAGAGTTTCCAGGGGTGGGGTCTAGGTGTCTGTATTTTCCACATGCTGTCATCTGGACTCCCCCAGAGAGGACATTTACAGTCCCCACTGACCCGCTCAGTTCCCGAACTCGAACTCGGCTTACTGGCCTAGGCCTGGAAGATTCTGTGTGTTCCCACTGTTGGTGTGTGTGTGTGGGGGGTCCTCTTCTCCCTGGGGACCCTGGGTCCAGGGAGAGGTTGGCTGTCCTGTCTACACTGACCATGAGAAATCAGAAGGGCTGACTCTGCAGTCCCCAGCCTTCAGATCCCTGGCCCCTGTCTGACAGAGGTCAGAGGCGTGCACACAGTAGAAGCCCGTGAAGGCGCTGGGCCATGAGCTCACAAAGCCAGAGCCATCTCTCCCACTCAGACTACTCCTTTGTTTATTTGTCAAGACAGGGTTTCTCTGTGTAGCTTTGGAGCCTTGCCTGGAACTCACTTTATAGACCAGGCTGGCCTTGAACTCACAGAGATCCACCTGCCTCTGCCTCCTGAGTGCTGGGATTAAAGGCTGCCCCGCTAGACTACTCTTTTTTTTGACTATTTTCCTTTTTATTTGTTTAATTTGGCTTTTTGAGATAGGAACTCACACTGTAGCCCAAGCTGACCTCAGATTCTCAGCAATGCCTTAGCCCCACGAGTGCCAGGATCACAGGTGTGACCTCTGTGTGGGTTCCACGTCATCGTTCTAAGGCACAGCCAGGCATGGCGGCACACACCGTTAGTCCCAGCACTTGGAGGAGGCAGAGGAAGAAGGACCTCTGTGAATTTGAGGCCAGCCTGGGCTACCCTGAGTGCTGAATTTAAGGTAAGATATTATGGTAAGGCTCAGCAGATAAAGGTGCTTGCCCCAGTCCTGACAACCTGAGCTCAATGCCTGGGACCCACCTGGTAGAAGGGGACCCAACTCCCCAAGCCGTCCTCTGACCTCCACATGCACTGTGGTCCACACACAGACAGACACAGAAGTAAACACATAAGATTTAAATATACAGATAAATAAGAGAGGATTCATAGAAGAAATCATGTTTCCTCCCCCACCTGTCTCTGTTCTCTAGGGACAACAAAGCAAAGCCACTCTCCTTCCTTTGGGCTTGTTTGCTTCTTTTTTTTGGAGACTTTCTGGGGTGTCCTGCTTCAACCATGAGTGCTGGGGTCACAGGTGTGTGCCGCCATGCCAGCCCCTTGGGCTTTACTCTGCCCTTCCTCCTCCTCTGGCGTCAGCGGGATGTACCCAGGCTAGACAAGGCAGCCCTTTTTGAGCCTCTATGAGCACCTTAGGGGAGAAGAGGCAACCCATGGCCATAGCGAGGCTTGGGCTGGTGCAGCCTCCCACCTGCCCCCACAGAGGGCACAGAGGCTGGACGAGCAGCTAACCCCAGGACCTTCCTTCATCCCCCTGTTTACAGAAGACAGAGTGTACCTCGCTGGTGTGTCTGTTGCCTCTGCTTCTTCCTCTGCCTTCTGACCACTTCTCTATTACTTCTCTGCCTCTGCCCCACCTCCAGCACCATCACTGCTTCCTCTCGGTCCAGCATCCACCACTGTGGGCCTGGAAGAAACCCTCTCCTCCTCAGCAGGGACTCTGCCATTTCTACCTCGCCTCCACAAGGCCCAAGAGTCTCAGTTAGTTTGAGAGTGGACGAGTTTCCTGTCAGGCAGGTGGGACATTCACTGTTGATCCTGTATAGCCAGAGATGTCCCTCACAAGTGGGCCCAATCTGAGCTGTGACAGTTCAAGCGTGCGCACTCTCAGACTCTTCCCCAGACACACTCAGCCTGTGGGGGTTGGGGGTAGGCATGGTTCCAGTCAGAAGCTAACACAGAGGTGTTCTAGATGGGAGCGCTTCCTGGCTGAGAGCACCAGAGAATGGGGGCTGTTCAAGGGCTGTAACCTCTGCGTGTAAGGCACAGAGAGCCTGGAGAGGGGTCACAGATGGAACAGGCACTATCTTGGGAGCAAGAAGTCATATGGCAGGGTACCAAAAAGATAGGGTGGGCCAAGTGGTGGCTCAGGCCTTTAATCCCAGCATTCAGGAGGCAGAGGCAGGTGGATCTCCGTGAGTTTGAGGCCAGCCTGGTCTATAAGAACTAGTTCTAGTAGTATCTGAAGAAGTCTGGAAAAAAAAAAAAAAAGAACTAGTTCCAGGACAGGCTCCAAAGCCACAAAGAAACCCTGTCTAAACAAACAAACAACAACAACAACAAAAAGCTAGTCCAGCACACTGCTCTCCAGAATATTGTGAAAGATTTGATTAGATCCATTTTGCAGAGATGGAAACTGAGCCTACAGAGCTAGTTCCAGGTCAGATAGGGCTGTGACAAAGAGAAACCTTGTCTCAAAAAGTGGGGGATGGCGATGAAGGTGGGTGTGAGGCGGTTTTGGCAGGATCAGTGCTGCTCGGATAGTCTAATTTCCTTTCATGGCAGAACTCAACCAGACGATATGAGCTGGATTTACCCAGGATGGAAGGACTAACCTGCCTCCCTAGGGGACCTGAGGTGGCTTTGGACTCCCCTTCCTGGGGAAGTAGACCAGGAGTCATTAGATGCCCACAAATCCAGTAAGGGACAGACCAGGACAGAACTAAGGGGTGCATCTGAGTTCACAGGACCCAGCTTGAGCAACATGAGGGTCGAGGTGGAGGGGGACATGCCCACGCTGTCCTGTTTGCCTCCCAGGTTTCCTGTCTTCGTCAACAGAAGCGGTTGTAAATACACCGCTCTTTTGATGGGAACGAAGACAGCCGAGCCTCGCGAGCCCCGCGTTGGCCCCACAGCCTCCTTCATGCGCGGCACTAGATGGAGTATTATTTACAGAGAATGAGTGGATCCCTAGGCAGGGTCTGAGAGCTGAGTTGTTCTGACGCTTTCCCCAGCATGCCAGGACTCGAGCAGCCGAGGCTTTAATTTCTTCCCCAGGAAGAAGACGCCTACCCAGGAAGAGAGCTCCTTCGTCTCCTCTGAACTGTCCAGACCATATAGTTTTAAGACGACAGGGGTGGTCACTGATGGGGTTTTCCTGGGCCTGGCTTACCCCAACTCTCAACCTCAAGTCTCAAGGCATAAGGCAAATTTCCCAACCTGTTGTGTGCCTGTGCTGGTAGGTGGAGTTGGACGGTGAGCTGTGTCGCAACTCAGGGGAGACTTTGGCCATGACCCCTTAGCTGGCTCACACTGTGGCTGCCGGCTTGCTTTGCAAATGGAGGAGGCTCTCCGCTCCAAAGGAAGTGACTGGCAACACTAACTAACTGTTTTTCTTCAAAGCCACGAGGAAGCCACAGGGAGGAGCAGGGTACGTGCCCAAGCATGACTCTGGGGAGTCCACAAGAAGCCCGAGAAGGGGGCAGGTTACCGAGTCTCAGAAGCCCACGGTGCCACCTCTACTGTGCAGTCAGAGTACATGGTTCTGGACAGCGGCACTGGTGACACGTGCCTGGGGGCCTCTGGTACCTCCCCTGGGCCAGCACTCCACCCAAGGCCAGGGCTGCTGGGTGGCAAGGTGCCCGCCGAGTAACAACGGCTTCCCCATCTGACTCCTGGCGGATGGGAACCGGGGTGGCAAGTGAGCCTCCCCTAAGCCCCCAGGATGCCCCTCACCTTGAGCTGGGACTTGGAGACCTTGCCGCTCTTCTCCACGTCCAGGGCGGTGAAGGCGTACCAGATGGACTTGAGCAGCTCCTTGCGCAGGGCCATGGCTGAGGCGCCCGCCCCGGCCCAGGGGCGGCTCTGACACCAAGATCCGGTTTCAGGAAATGCAAACGGCTGCAGACCGCAGAGAGGCCCTGGTGCAGAGCGGAACAAGAGCTCCACCTGCCTGCTCCCTCTGGCTTCCAGGGCTGTCTTGTTGCTCTGCTGTCCTACTCCCCAGAGCCAGAGAACCCTCCTTTGCCTGGCCTGGCTCCTTTAGCACAGGTTTTACAAGTTTCCTTGCCCCAGAACCCTCGCTCCCAACAGTAGTTCAAGGCCACCCTGAGTTGGAGGTAGACAGGGTCAGGAGTCAAGTCTATGCCAAGTAAGATGCCAAGGCCCTACCTCCCATGGTGTGCAGGCGAAAGACTGGGCACAAAGACACAGCAGGCTTGGGACAGGACTTCTCTTTTAGGGCCCCCAGCAGGATCTCATGAGGTGCTCTGTCCCAGCAGAAGAAACCCACCTGGAGGAAGAGCAGAAGCAGGCCCCTCCCTCACCAGTACAGAACACTGGCCACGCTGCACCTAGTGGCCTTGAAGACACCAGAGTCGGCATGTGTGACAGCAGGGCTCACCTTTGAGGTCCTGGCAGGGGCAGGCAGGGGCAGGTCCTCTTCACTAAGGTCTCCACTTTCTTAGATGCAGAGGCCTCTCAATTGGGATGAACCCACCTCATGGAGGCCATCAGATTTCAGTGGAGCCTGGTTGAGGTTAATTCTGGGACATCCCACTCCCAGGGGAGCATGACCAGCCTCGGAGCAAATGGGAAGCAGGCTGTGGAGACACACACTATCATCCCTCGCTTGGAGGTCTGAAAGTCAGGGATAAGTCTGGGACCACAACTCTGAAGCACAACTCTGTCTCAGAAACAAACTAATAAAAGACCTCAAACAACAAAGGGTAAATATGAACTTCCTAGGTACCCAGGAGAGGGTACAGGTAGTTCTCGGTGTTCTGGGTCCACTCAGGAAGGGGCTGCGGGCCCACTAGAGCATCGTAGTAGAGACAGAAGAGGCACCCTCAGGGCTGGAGAGATGGCTCAGAGGTTAAGAGCATTGCCTGCTCTTCCAAAGGTCCTGAGTTCAATTCCCAGCAACCACATGGTGGCTCACAACCATCTGTAATGGGATCTGGTGCCATCTTCTGGCCTGCAGGCATATACACTGACAGAATATTGTATACATAATAAATAAATATTTAAAAAAAATCAATAAATCTTTAAAAAAAAAAATAAGAAGAGGCACCCTCAGTTCCTACAGCATTCCCGCACAGCTGCAGTCAGCCCTAGAGCTCTCCACAAGGTCCCTCGGGTATCTGTCCTGTTGTGGCTGACTCCGGCTCACTCTTCAGTAGGTCACATATACCTCTGAAATCCCACTGCATGGGGAACGGTTAGGGTGGTTACTGTTACACAGTAACAGCATTAGGACCTCAGGAACCTGGAGGAACCTTGCCTGGGGCTTTGTGGTGGCGGCTGGGAAAGGAAGGTCTCAGGCTCCGTTCAATGACAGAAAGACAGGAGACCCAGAATTCTTCCAGGCCAAGCATGCAGAGACCAGTGTTCAGTCACACCCGGGAACCACAGCCACTCTAGTCCTGTTTGGCATAGGTGTGCGCAGAAGCCCACTGGCAGCTCCTCAGGGCTCATCTTTCCCAGAGCCTTCCTCCCGCCTAGACTCAGGCACAGAGCTGTGCTAGGGGAAGCTGGAGCCCAGGGAGCCGGGCCACCAGGGCCCAGCCTGGAATGATGGAGGAACCCAAGTGGAAACTTGCAACTTTTATTAAATATTCATTCACCCGTTTGCCGCCGCCACCCAAAGCAAGAAAAAAATAATTATCAAAATAGAATTAAAAAACCAAACCACAAAACAAATTAAACCTGATCCCCAGCAGTCTAGGTACAGGCCACTCTCTGCCTCTCTGCCACAGACAGAGTGAAGAGCCACTGGGGAGCCGTGGCCTGGGAACCCACTCCAGCCACAGGCCCCTGAGGAATTAATTCTGACTGCGTTGGCAGGAAGTCCCTGGTGCCAAGTGGCTAGCCATCTTGGCCAACCTACCCCCAGGAAGTGGTTATTGCTGGGAGACGCCGGGCTGAAGAGCTGTCTACCTTTCCCCTGGAGGCAGACCAGTCAGGGTGGAGGCCGGTCCTCACCTATCTAGTTCCCATCTCTCTGAGAAAGAGAGTGGACAGAAGCGAATTTTCCCCCAAGGGAGGAAAGCAGGTGTCCAGGGCAGCCTGGTGACCACACTGGTTGTCCTCGGTCCCCACTGTCCGCTGCCTGACCCTCGTCTTAGGTGTGGCCCGCAGCCCTTTCCATTAGAGGCCATTTTCCTGCGGCCCTCTCATCCCAGCGGCCTAAGTGGTCATCTTCTTGGGGTCAGCCACAGCCAGGGCCCCAGAGGCAGGGCTGCCTGTGAGTGTGGCACCTTCTCCAGAACTGTGTGGAGCCGGTCCTCTTGGGTTCAGCAGCCACTCTCTGACACTGCGGTTTCCAGAGTCACAGTCCCTTGCTGCATGGCAGCAGTGGCTACACTTATGGCCTCTTCCAGGGTCTGCTGCTCCTCCAACTGTGAAGAGGGTGCACAGGAAGGACAGCGTGAGACCCCAGCCAAGGCACGTGTGATCACCTGAGCTTTCTAATGTAGAAAATTCCCTGATAAAAAGTCCTATTAGGCATGGTCTAGGGAGACCACACGCTGCCTCAGGGTCAGAGACACCAGACAGCTTATAAAAGAGTAACTGGCTGGGTAGTGGCACACACCTTTAATCCCAGCACTTGGGAGGCAGAGTCTCTGAGTTTGAGACCAGCCTGGTTTTTACATAGCAAGTTCCAGGATAGCCAGGGCTGTTACACAGAGAAACCCTGTCACCAAAAACCAAACCAAAGCAAACAAACTAACAAAAAAGAGTAACTAGTTGGAATTGTCCTTGGAAGGAAGGTACCTTCCTTATCTCCTGGGTGAAGAGAGAGACTCAAGAAGATAGGGCTTGCCTCAGTCACCCCCAAGGCAAGGATGTCCCCACTCTCCTCCAGACGTGTGGATGCTGGCAGAGAGGAACCCTAACAAGGCTTCACTGCCCTCTCTGGTCAGGGACCCTTCCCTCCTTTCTTCTACCCACCTGCACGGCGATGTGTGTTCCGTTAGCTGTGGCCAACAGCGCCACCTGTTGATGATGAAGAGACGCCACACTTGAGTCCTCAGTTACCAGGGCCCCAGAGGTGATGATTGTGACCTGAAAACACAGAAGGGAAGACCGTCCAGCTACCTGCAGCACCTACCCCTTCCCCATGCAAGTAAAATACTCCCAATGGAGAAAGCCATATGCGTCAGATTAAGCAGCTTGGGCTCAGAATTACACAAGGTCGGATCTTTCTTCAGTGAGGTTGGCAGTGTGGTAGTGATGGTACTGGAGACCGAACCTCAGGAGTGGCGCAGGTGCAGCAACCACCACGCTACAACCCTAGTCCTTAGCGCTGATACAGGCCACTATGCCTACCCTGTCCTAGACAGTGTCTGGAGATGGTCTGTTTTAAAGATGAAGGTTGCTGAGGAGACTTTTTTTTTTTTTTGAGACAGGGTCTCTCTTTGCTATCCTGTCTGTCCTGTCTGTTCTAGAAATTGCTGTGTAGAACAGGCTGGCTTTGAACTCACAGAACTGCTGCTCAGATGCTGGGATTAAGGTGTGCATCACCACTCCTGACCTTAATTTTTTTTTTAAAATATTTATTTATTATTTATTATGTATACAGTATTCTTTCTGTGTGTATGCTTGCAGGCCAGAAGAGGGCACCAGACCTCATTACAGATGGTTGTGAGCCACCATGTGGTTGCTGGGAATTGAACTCAGGACCTTTGGAAGAGCAGGCAATGCTCTTAACCACTGAGCCATCTCTCCAGCCCCCTGACCTTAATTTTATTTTGTAATAGGAACTGAACCTAGAACTTTGCCTATGCCGACAGGAACTCTGCTACTGAGCCGTGCCCACATCCCTTGTACTCTTGCTTGAGACAGGGTCTCACCTAGTTGCCCAGATTGACCTTACACTTGTGATCTTCCTGCCTCAGCCCCCAGGGAGCTACAATTACAGGCCTACACCACCAGGCCTGTCAGGGAGACCTTCTATGCCATCTTCCTCATGAACTGTCTTAATTGGTTTGGACTGCACTTTTAATGCCCCCATGGGAAGGAACACGGAGAACAAGCAAACCGCCTGGTCATACGGGCTGAGTCTGGGTGCCATCGGCGCTGACCATGGTGACTGTATGTGTGCCAGCTGTGGCCAGTTCATCGTGGTGGCTGGGGATGGTGAGGGTGGTGCTGCCGTGCTGAGTCACCACACTGATGGCACTCCCCAGGGCCTGCAGCTCTTCCGGGGACAGGCTGACCTGCCGACAGGAGGGAGATGAGCTGGACGGGGCATCAGAAGAGGGCTGTGTGAGCGCACCCACAGGCCACATGCTGCGCTAGACAGCTTGGCTTACAGAAGCTGAGAGAGAGAGAGAGAGCTTGGCTGGGGACCAGGACCACGACACAGGGCCATGGCTGCAGAGAGGACCACGAAGGGCATCCCACTGGCACCTCTACTACCCACTACTTTGCCCCTATAAGCCGCTGCATGCAGGTCAGGATCTCGACCTAACTTGTCTTCCTGCTCACTCTGGAAGGAGGAAGCACACTAAACAACAAGGTATGGCCAAGGGGCAGGATATTCTGTCACCAGCGACACTGGTAGACTGACATGGCCCTCTTGAGAGCATACATGTCATTCGGATGAAGAGCAATAGCCTCAGAGAAGGAAAGAGACTGGGAGGAGCAGGTCCCCTCAAGGACCACACGGGTCTCCTCAGTCTTAGCTCTTTCAAGTCCACAAAGGCAAAACAGGAGCATGGGTGGCGGTGAGGCTGAGAACTTCAGGCCTCCCCAGAGTCCCCAGACTGGAGGAGCCACTCTGAAACTGCTCCACCCATCCCCAGGGTCTCTACCTGCTGGGCACCATCCTGAGTGATCAGAGCCACCTGGGGGGCCCCATCTTCCTCGGTTACCATGGCTACTTGGGTTGGGATGTCATTGCTCTCTTCCTTCACCTCCGAAAGGTAAGCAATGTGGGCTCGTTTGGTTGGTGGGCTTTCCTCAGCAGCAGAGGCAGCTAGGAGAGGAGGGCCCAGGCTGTCACCTGCTGCCAGACGCCAGGAGAGGCCCTGTGGGCCCCACCTCCCCGCTTCCGGCTCCCTCACCCTCCAGCTGCTGCTGCTGCTCATACAGGGCCTGCTCACTCTCCTCGGTGGCCTCCAGCTCCCCATGTGCACTGCGCTTGTGCATGGCCAGGGTGGAGGTCTGCCGGTAGGTCTTGCCGCAGCTGCTGCACGTATAGGGCTTGCAGTGTGTGTGCACCACGTGGTGCTTGTACAGGCTCGAGTACTCAGTGAAGCGTTTTCCACAGCCTGGCACCGTGCAAACATATGGCTTCTCCCCTGGGGACACTGGGCTGTGAGGGGGCGGGAACTGGGGCTGGCAAGGGGAAAGCTAAGGGGAGAGGGCTGGGGGACAGGGCTGGTGAGGGGAGAGCAGAGGGGCTGAGGACTGAGTGGCAGGGGTTGGGGAGACAGGAGGGCATGAGAGTGGGACCCCTGCACCCAGAGACAAGGTGGAAAGAGCAAGGTCGGGCTCTGAGAAGGGGAGTGAGTAGGGCATTCTAATGTGTGTGGGGGGTGAGGGTTTGAACAGCAGAGACAGTGGGGCAGAGCAAAGTGTCAGGGAGGAAGGGAGAAATGGGGCGCACGGTTGAGAAACGACAGAAAGCTGGACAAAGGGTGTGACCCTGGAAGGGTAAGGACACAGAGCCATATGCACAGTAGAAGCTCGGAGGGGATGAGGGTGACATTTCACTGTTTCTTCCAGACCACTCCTGACCCTGGCCTCTTTGAAGAGCTCAGTGGGTATGTGGCTAGGGACTGTCCAAGTTCACAAAGGGTGGGCAAGACCTGTCAGATTAGACCCAACTACCAACGGGGAACTGTTCACAGGAGGTGACAGTCATCTGGGTGACCCACCCCAACTCGGCCTGGAATAGCTGGCAGAGAAGGGCTGGAGCTGAGAGGTGTCCCAAATCA